CTCCAGCGATGGCAGTTTTCTTGCCCACCGTCACAGTGACAGAAGTGGTGGCGATCACTATCCTCCCTGCTGGTAGAGCAACACACACAATTAGCAATAATTTACAGAGCGATATCCATACATGCATGGAGAAACATGGGTGTGTGCATGCACTTTACAAACACACACATATTCCTTGCAGACATGTACACATGCATGAGTTTATGCGTGCACAGGAGCTGAAAAGGAATTTTCTTTTACATATACATCATTTGAAAGTCTTTGGACACTTACTGTGATAGTGGCAGCTGAAATGTCAGTACAGATATGTACATTGTTTCGTAAATATGTGGGTAACAGTCCGAGGTGGACACGGGCCATGCATTCATCCGTGTCTATTCACAGCCGTCATGCCAGCTGATGCTAATAAAACCAAGCCACAGAATCCAGACAGATGAACCTTTGAAGCGTTATGTAACAGAGTGTGAGAGCTAATCAGCGAATACACTCATAACCAAAAGACTGTGTGTGTATGTGTGTTTATAAGTGCCCCATGTTCATATATTAGGAGCTATCCACTCCTTTAGAACACCAAATCTATGCATTCATGACAATTAAGAAATCCTTGGATGAGATGCTTTTTTTAGTTCCATTAAATGTTGTAGAATGTTTTAGTAACAGTAACACTGTAATAAATCCATGTACTCTATGAAAGCAGATGTTTAATTAATATTCAGTGAAGAAAGCTACTGACTCAACACAATGCAAATGAAACCTGAAAGTTGACTTATTCCCTGAGAGAGGAGAGGAGGTTCCCATCCTTTAATTGCATGCTCATGCAGTGAGAGATAGAGAAAAAGAGAAGGATGTGGAGGAATAAGAGATAGAGCAGAGCTAGAAATAGAAGAAAGGAGAAACAGAAAACAGAGCAAAGCACTTGTCATGCTTTTGAAATTAGAGGTGAGGAATGAGGATGGATATGGACGCATGCCAAGTACAAGTAAAGTTTTCCTCTACCCTCCTCCTCCACTTCTGCCTCCCTTGGTTTCCTCCCTCCCTCCTCCGCTTGGAGCTCCACCTCCTCTGCACTGAAGGTGGCGCTATAGTCAGCCTCATAGTCCCTGAATATATCTGAACACAACAGACTATGTCTAGCATCCACCTAAATATATACATTTATGAGACATTTTGTGTACATTGGTACTTAATGCCAGAGTTTAAAATGATGGCAGAATTATGAAATGTTTCATTGTATTAATGATGAAAACATTTATTGCCATCATAAAACTTTAGAAATAGTACTTATTTCTTTATATTGTTCAGTATATTTGAACTATAACTGCACAGTAATCCATACTGTATATAGAGAACATCCAGCTGTATAGAATAGGTACAATCATAAAAAACCTAACCTTGAATAGAAGTAACCAAATGTAATTAAACATAAACATTTAAGAGGGTGACACACTGGATATGTACGCACACCCTGTGTCATTAGGAAAGGAAGAGTTATCAGACTAATATTTGTTGAGTTGACTTTAAGTCTGTACTATTTATTAAAGATGACATTAAAATGCTGTGTCTGTTGTTGCTGCCTAAAGCAGAAAACATGTTTTATAAAGCACTTTAAAAATACTTTTGAATCTTGCAGAGCTAATAGGAAAATGAAATCAAGAGGCAGAGCAGGGTCAGGCTAAAAACCCTACTTTTGACTGACTTGAATTTATAGACTGCATCTACAGATGATGTTAAGTGTTAGTATGATGTGATGATAAGTGTGATGACAGTTACCATTGTCAATTTGGAGATGCTGCTTATTTTGCAAAATTCTCAGAATAGGACTATAGTGGAGAATATATTTAAATAAAATATCCTTTAAGACAAACGACTTAAATATAAAGTAAAGTCAACAGAAAGGAGCTGCTGAGGACTGGAGGCTGTAGAGAAATAACTTGTCACTGAGAAATATCCGGCTCAACCTGCGGAACATTGCTGAGAAAATTGGATTTTTAAAAAGCTAAGAGATTGTTTCGTGTGTCCGAGTGTGTGTGCATGTGTGTGTGTATTTGCAACGTAAAGATTATCTCCACTACCTCTTGTCTCCTGCCTGGGCATGTAGTACAGAAACTGTCCAGCTGGGTTCTCGGATGCTCTGCGGTACCACACTGGGAAATGGTCCAACGTGAACATATTCTCCTTGTCTGTGGAGGTCAGGAAAGACCTGGGGAGAGATAAAAATATGCTTATGTAAAAAAGTAATTATGGTAACAAAAGAAAAGAAAGAAGGTTGAAAAGGAGGATAGGAAAGAGAGGTCAATAGAAAGATTAGGGATAGCAATAAAAGTGAGTATGGCCCAATTCCAAACCACCCTAAAGTCACACTCACAGCTGAACAAGGCTCCCTTCTTTCAGGGGGTGAATACATCGGCAAGCTTTCGGACAAACTCCCCTCTCCGGCAGAAACAGGAAGTGCCGTAACTTTTCGTAACAAGGTTTTCAATCAGCATCTCTTGGACAAAAAATATGAACTCAAATAAAACAAAAAAAATCTTTCATGCCGTTTCTTTCTTCTTCTACTTTTTTTGTGAATCTCTTTTTGATTAAAATCAAACGACTTTGGGAGTAAGAACAAATAACAATCATCCCGGATTAATAAGAGTTGTGAAACAGGAGGCGGAGCAGCCTCCCTCCCTGTGTTCCCGCAGTGCGCTGGCCTCACATCCCCGGACTGAGAGACAGACTCGGAGGAGCAGAGTGATGTCAGTATTGTTTATGAAGCAGGGTAAAGAAAGTAATTTTTTTTAAATGAAAATACTATTTATTTACCTTTACAAACAGTGAAGCAGTTGGGCAGCTGTAGCAGATGTATTGCAGGACATGTGTTGGACACAGACTGTGTGTGGTTGGACTCTGTCCTACAGGCAGGTTGCAGAGTAGCATCAGAGGAGACTAGGGGAATTGTACATTCTCAGATTGCACCACTTAGAACTAACTTGTGAATGCAAAGAGAGATGATTTTTATATCATTTTATTCAATAACAGCAACCAAATTAAACAGTATTAAGTGATTTGAAAATATGAATACAGTTTTGACTAAATGTTTTCATAATATATTTATATGTTTTACCCTCTCAAAGACCGAAAACAAGAACCGAAAGAACCAGAATCGAAAAGCAGAACCGGAATCAGAACCGGAATCGTTATAATGCAAACGATACCCAACCCTATTCATGACGGACACAAACAACAGTGGGTCGGTCAGGTAGTGCAGCAGGTGAAGTCAGGACCGATGCAGACTCGCTGTTGGAGGGCTTGATAACACTCCCCCTCCCCACTTGTTTGTTTGGAACGGCACTTAATGAGGCGGACCCTCCACGCAAACGAAAAAGGAGTGAAAGTGTGTAGGGGTCGGGTGTACAGTAGGGGGCAGTTTTGGAATTGGGCCTAAAGCTCATGATTGTACTGAATACCAGCTTTCATTGACCACTAGAGGGCCACCTCTAACCTTGATTTAATTTCAGCTTCAATCCAGCTCTTTAATCAGTATCACTCTCATATGAACAGTTTTATCGCCTTATTTAACCAAATTCAAACCTTTTGGCCGTGGACTTTATCGTATGAGTAATTTGATGTGATCATACTAATTTAAAATCGGCCTCATGTTTCCTACTTACTTCCCAACTCTTTTCTCAACACCAGCGTATCTCTGGAATCTCATCAGGCCTGATCGGGTCCCCATGAATGCTGTTTCTACACCCTCCTCCATACTGAAAGAGAGAGCAACAGAGAAAATATGAGTAAGAAAAGAGGTGGAGCTAGATAAAGGGGCAAATTGTAAAAACAAACAGCAGTAATCTTGATAAGGGTCCATGCCTTATCTCATCATTTATTTACACATTTGTGTCTATATTCACCCAGATGCGTTCAGCATTAGAGCGGTCCAGTAGGCTTCCATAGGAGCCGTGACCACAGCATCAAAAAGAGTTTGCTGCAACAACTGTACATCACCTGTCGAGGGGGAAAAGGACAAAGATCAAAATCAACAAAAATAATATCAATAAAGATAAAAATGACTGCATAAGAAAAGAGAAAGAGTAAGACACAGATTAAATGTCAGGCATTGAATGGAGCCAACATAATACTACCAAAAGAAACTAATTAGTGTATCCCTGTAAGTGCAGAAATCACATTGTACCTTCTAAAAAAGGCGCTTAGTAGACTAATTTCAATTGTCTTGAACACACTGTACAACTACAAATAGTTTGGTTTGAATTCTAAATCAATAGTGACAACCTATTCTTAATTTGAAGTAGATTTGAAAATAAAACAATTGTTCAAAAGATCATAAGGCTGACATGGATCAGTAATGTGTGTTTAAGGATATTTCAGTGTTGAAATGACTTTTGATCCTGGTGTGCATGTAAATACACAGGATTATAATAGTGGTTGATTTTGAGGGTTAAAGTATGTTTAGTGTTTTCTTAATAAAATATGATTTGCTAAAATGTCAACCTACAATCCAGATCAGGTTCTTTGCCAGTGAGGTATCGCACCACAGCCTGCAGCTGGGTCAGCTTACGGTGGGCCGGGTCAATGTCTGTCTCACAGTAGGTCCTGTAAACACACACACACACACACACACACACACACACACACACACACACACACACACACACACACACACACACACACACACACACACACACACACACACACACACACACACACACACACAACACACACACACACACACACACACACACACACACACACACACACACACACACACACACACACACACACACACACACACACACACACACACACACACACACACACACACGCACGTATGTACATCACAAAAATGTACTGTGGTCATAATTTCATGAACAGCTACAACCACTTATATAACTACAGGCTAAAATCAAACAATATCTATGGTATGCAAGTTATACAGTCCTCACCATTCACTGGCTATGGTCAGGTCTGGAGCCAGTAAGTCATGAAGACCTGGAGCAGAAAAAAGAAAGCAGACATGAGGGTGAGTGTGAGAATCACAGACATAAATACAATTAAACTAAATCAGAAAGGAAGACTGACCCTCCTCAACAGAGACGTTTCCGATGAAGATATACTCTCCATATCCTCTGGTCAGCACGATACCCAGACTGTCAAACATAGAGAAGTATTTTGTTATTGACAGTAGTAATCGTACTTTTAAACTCACTATTACTTCCTTGTTGCTTAAGAAAATTAAAACAGAAGAGATATTTCTCGCAGAAATGTGTTTTTGTTGCTGTTAATTATTTCACACAGGTAGAGGTGTTGCTTCATTAAATATGGTTGGTATTTAAAAACTAACACTTTCACAATTCTGTTAAGTTGGTAACAATCCAACAAACCTGAACGGTGTCTCATTGATGACGGTGTAGAAGTAATCATTCTTCAGGAACATCACCCTCGTCTTTGAGAGACAGAGAGAGGACACAAGTTTGAAAAATAATAATGAACATGGAACAAAGGAAGAGTTTGTATACTAAAATACAAGTAGATGAGTAGAACTTTCCCATCAAATGAAATCAATCTTCGATAAGACAAAAAGACAATAAAATCCCACAGGGAAAAAAAGAGAGGAGAATCTAAACTCTGATCGAATAGCTCCAGTTGCTCTCCTCCTAACACACACAGATACACTCACATAGAAATAGGTACTCACTCCTTTATCCACTGAAGTTCTCACGTCTAAAGACAACGTTCCAGTTTCTCCTTTAACCATGGCTGTCCTCAGCTGAAACAAGACACACTTAGCACTTAACACAACTCACATTAACATAGAAGAATATCAAAACAGAGATTTGAAAAAAGAGAGTGTGTGAGAGAGTGCTACTCACTTTCTCCTCTGTGTCTTCCCATTCCACCTCTGCCAGATCAACACTGTTATAATTGGGTTTTGGCTTCAGCGTCTTCCCCTCTTTATACTGTCACACACACAAACAGGTAAAATCTTTAGTAACCTATCCCATGTTATGTTTGGTTATTGCAATACATATGTCACACAGGATTTTAAAGTTCCAGCAGTTTCTCAGCTGTACATTATTATCTTTGTCTGTACCAGAGGTCGTAGGTCAGGATGAGACAGGATGTAGCCGTTGTTGGTGATAAGGTAGCCGTAACCATGTACACCCAGCTAAAGAGACAAAAAAATAAAATAAGGACGCAACACAGATCATTACCAAGCATTCATTAACACCATATTGTGCATTAAATGTCACTGACTTTCAGAGAACATTCAAGACAGCATGTTTACAGTATTTCATCCTTGTTTGTGACACATTATATGTTTTGAATGGTTTACCTTGTATCTAGGAGCTAATCTCATCAGTTCTCTCAAGGCCACGTCTGTCCCTACCACTCCCAGCAGAATCCCATGAGACAACTGCAGGAAACACACAGCAGCTTCATATACAATTTCAGGTAGGGTCTGTTGAGATGAATGGTAATTAAAAAGTAAATACTTACAGTCTCTTCCTTTTTGCTGAACACAGGCATGGCTACTGAGGTCATCAGCAGGAGGCTTTGGGCCTGAGTGTTGAACAGCTATGGTACACAAACACATAAACAAAGTTACTTACTGTGTTATTTTTGTTTAATAGCTAAAGTAGTTAGCTATCTTATGAGAAAACAACTGAAAATCTAAATTAAGTGGGTGAAGTTCATTCCTGTTGACCAAAGGTGGACAATGAAGTGAAATGGTGATAGACTGGACGGTGATAATAAACTAAGTTGTGCTAAATCTGTCTGAACCCACACACATTAACTAAGCTAAACGTTGTCAAGCAAAAGAGAAGTTAGGAGATGTAAGCTAACTAATATTACCGTACATTAGCTGTTAAAGTAGGTAAGTAAAACGTTTTAGAAGTTGTGAAGAAAAGTTTTAAATATAATTACCGCAGTGAAACAAAAATACCGTGGTGAAGTTAGTTTAAGGTCGCATAATTACGGTTCCGGCTAGAACCTTTGCTTTCGTCGGAAGTTAGAGGACGGTTAGCCTACATCCGGGTTATTCTTAATACATCCATGCTAGCGGGATAACATTAGTGAATCATATAGGAAATGTCTGTCGAATATCCAACCTAAAACTAACTTCTACGTGCTGGTAGTAACGTCAAAGCAGCAGGTTTCAGCGGGAAAGAAGTGAACAAGCTCGGCTAACTAACTAAAGGATGAGCTAAGCTAACTTTCATATTTGAAAGAATTGTGAACCAGACATACTAACCGAGACAATACATTACAGCAAATATATATGCTGTATTTTTTATGACTAACACTAGCTAAAGCTAAAGAAAAGGAAGTCTGACATAGGAACATTAAAGCTCTTCTATGATTACCTCTTTTGTGGTCGGGAGCTGAATGTGAAGATGGACAAGGACAACAAGCATGAAATGGCAGTGAAAACATATACCACAATTTACAGATGAAAACAGATAATGGAAAATAAGGAGGAAAAATAGATGCACTTGAACAGAAAAAAATCTTATTTAGAATGTAAGTATTTTTTCTGTACTTACCTTACTACTTAGTAAGTACTTATTAAGTAGTAAGTACTTCCATATTATTTTTCACACTGCGTATTGTGCATATCTATGATCAAATTGTTATGAGTTTATAGATCAAAAACATTATTTAGCTCTTTGTAGTTTTTGAGATACAGCCATTTTATTATCATAAAATAATAAAACCTTTATATTCTTATGTAATATAAATTAGTGTATGTTGCCCAGCAGGCACACTGATATTGGGAGAGGCAGACTGACCACACTGTCCATATAGGCCTCAGTCCAGATGATGTCGTGATCGTGGTTGATGACCATTGGCCGGCTCAGAACATGGAGATACTCCATAACGTTTTCCTGGACATCAGCCAGCGTGGAGACGTGTGTGTAGTAACCTGCAGAACACACAAATACATGTACACAGAAAAATTAGGACCCATAAAATGTAGCAAAGAAACCATACTATATTTATCTTTCTGCTTCTGGCCTTTGGGTATTACATTTCGAGCAGCAAACTAATTTATCCGACTTCAAAAACCTTTTATTCCCAAATACTCTAAGCTTTTGAAATGAAAAAAAACAGCTTGAGTCCCCTATCAGTATGAATGTGCTTTTGAATTTTTTTTAAAGCTTGGCTTAGTCTGAGGTTTGTGTCATTTCTACAATGACGTCAATGGGATACCTGCAGTGAAGCTGCTCAGTGACAACAGGCTACTGAAGCACTGCCAGATATGAATATGTGAATGTGTGCAACCTTTCTCCCATTTGTTATTTTCCCCAAGAGTGTTTCTGTGAATATCATTTATTAAACCATCTTAAAAAGCAAAAGGGAAGCTGTTTATAGGTTTTCAAGCAGTGTAACATAAAACATGCCTGTCTATCAATGACAGATATTTAGTTGTTTGCAGAAGGGAGTGTGTGCACCAGAAGGGATTGCACCTGTTACCTATTACACACAGAGACACACACGCAGAAAGGATATTTTTTGGCAAGGGATGTGTTTACAGAGTATCTGTGCTGATAATCAGGTATTTAGTCAGGGATTTTTGATGTGCACAGAGCAGGATAAAGTGATTATTTTCAGGTCTGAGCTGCTGCATGACCTCATGTAATTCACAAGAGGGCAGCACCTGATACCCAGTCCCATACAGAACCACCTGGGGACCCCACAGAGGGCCGACAACAACAGACCTCCTTTCTTTCTGTTTAATTTAAGACTTAGCAAGTGATTGCAGTAGTTAGTCTATTTTTAGTTGCTGAAATAACCCAAACTTCCTATCCACATTTTTGAGGCACAACCAGGGATTCAACCTAGCAACGATTATGTCCAAAACGCAGATTCTTTTGACCATATGGCTACTGATTCATCCTCATGTTACCCTTGTTGTTGCAGGCAATCCATTTAACATTGTCAGCAAATGTCATCTCTCGGCCAATAAGATAGGTGAACACTCGAACCTGGAGAGGAAATAAAGGATTAAGTGAGAATGTTACCCCACACAGCTTTGATTAAATACAAACTGTCAATGCTTCGTGTTTGTGTGCTCACAGCACATTTCACTGTGCTTGCAGTTGATCCTGCTTGTGTTTGTATTTGTGTGTCATACCCGTCGTTCTGGCCAGTTGAACTCTTCAAAAACATCCTGGAAGTCCTCCATGGCTCCGTCTGTTATCAGCATGATGGCCTGGTTACACAGGCTGCCCTGGCCCAGTGCTGCAACCTAAACACACACACAATGTACTTGACATTGGATATTTGTACTGTAGAAATCAGCTAATGCAGACCTGTGAATTGTGTAGTCAGACAGTCAGACACAAATGAACTCATTTTACACTGCTATCAACGCTATATCTATATTCTCGGCGAATTTAAAGTAGTTATTGCCTGAGATCGCATGCTGTGGTTTTATTAAATGTGCCAAGTGCTAGGACTGTCTTAGGGAAGAAAGCTTTTAGATGTGCAGCTCCACTAACTTGGAACAGTCTGCAAAAAGAATGGAAAATTACCAATCTGGTACCACTACATGTTTTTAAAGCTTGGTTGGATGCTACACAATCAGATGCTGTTGGTACCTGTACATGTGGATAGATATGTAAATTGTAATCCCTGTAATCTTTGCTGTATGATGTCCTTTTGTTGTTCTGTTGTTTATGTTTTTAGGTCTTAATGTGGAACCTACTGCTGCAGGTCTCCCTTGAAAAAGAGATCAATGATCTCAATGGGATTTCACCTGGATAAATAAAGGTTTTGAATTTAATTGAATTGAATATATGGTTAAGACCTGGCAGAGGCACAAACCTCGTTGAGGATCTTAAAAGACTCCTTCATCGCAATTTTCACTTTGCCCTCGCCTTTGACATGAAGTTCATCAACCAAAAGCTTGAAATGCTGCAGAGAGAAAACACAACAACAGATAAATACATTAATAGACACTGTCACTTAGTCAACGATGTAATCCTTTTTTAAATGCAGGTAATGACAGAACGACATGGAAACAGAGTTTATGAGGAAGTGAGTGAAAGTGTGAAGCCTCAAGGACGGATAATCCCCGGCTCTCTGGCACACTGACCACTGATAAGGAGGTTAAAAGGTTATCAGGATTAGTGAATATCCACACGCACACACACAGAGACACTCTGACAACCACATTGTTTTGGGTTCTACCACCAGACCGGATATAGAGGGGGCTCTTGACAGAATGTTATATTCCCTTGAAGAAATACAAGCGAACTGTAAATCATTACTCTAATTATTGCTGCAAATTTAACAAAGATGTTTCATTAAAACTGGGTTGCTTTTGAAAACTGTTAGGTTACAGATAATAAGCTACCTTTTTAAACCTAAAAAAATAACCACACTTTGTGTTCACCAACATTTTGGTTGCATTTATTTTGTAATTTAATTACATAATTAAATAACTAAACGTAGATCCCCGCACAGCATGTTTCTTTTTAATCTGTATTCTGTAATAACCATGAGTTTTTGGGGAATGTACATCTCCTATAACAATTGTGTTACACAAGCAACAAAGCCGAGGATTGTCTTCTTGTAAAATAAGAGTTCACGTGTGTCAGCTAACATCTGTAAGCCCAGTCTGTTACAGCCTGCCTCTCTAGGTATTAAACCAATCATATCCCAAGTTGACGGGTCATGTGACCTACTTAAAATTGTCAGTGGCCAGCGACCTCACCTGATCTGCCATAATGTGAAGGGGAGTGAAAGTAGGGCACACATCCAACACATATCTCACACAAACACAGAGAGAGATTGAGCAGGTGTTGGTATATGAAAAAAACAGGAGAACAGATGATGGAGAAGAAAAGGAAAACAAAGAGCAGTGAAACAATGAGATAATAATGGTTTTGGACTTGTAAATACAACAAAGAGAGTGAGATGTAAGCAAAAATGCCATAGCTTTGAGAAGGATAATTATTTTAAATAATGTGAGATGAGGAATGAAACCGAATGACGAGTTGGAACAAAGAGGAAGAAATATCTATCTTAAAATGAGGCCGAGTACTTTCAACACACATTAACATTCATAGGTGTTGATGGTTTTATAATTTTAAGAAAGAAACAGGTTGAAATGATAAAACGTGCGCTCATTGTGATGTCTTAACTGCTGTGATGTCATGAAAACGTAAGTTCTGTACTGTCTTTAGTGGATTAGTGAGATAACAACCAACAAATTAATAGGTTATCTTAGGTTAAGTGAATCAATTAGCTGTCTAGGTTTTCTCTCTCTCTGTGTGTGTGTGTGTGTGTGTGTGTGTGTGTGTGTGTGTGTGTGTGTGTGTGTGTGTGTGTGTGTGTGTGTGTGTGTGTGTGTGTGTGTGTGTGTGTGTGTGTGTGTGTGTGTTGTGTGTGTGTTACCTCTCTGTTATCCAGATCAGCTTGTACCAGCGTGCCCTTGAAGCAGGGCTCCACGTAGCGAACATAGTCACTGTACTGGAGATGGAAGCACAATATGTAAGCCAAAATAATAAATCCACATGATGTCAACATGATACATTTTCTAACAGATGATGTTTTTTTTTTAAGTTTTACAACCTTCAAATCAATCAATTCCTCAATATCACAAAATCTTTTAACTTTGGTACAGTTATATAATCCAGCCAACGTGTGATTCTGTAACACAGAAATTACTTTAACTGTTAATAATGTGCATATATGACAGCTTTAAATTATTATAGTATAATTATTAAGGTATGGAATAAAATGTTCTTTTCACTTCCTGGAGTTCTATTGTTTGTTGTATTGTTAGATAGATTTTAGTGTTAAAAGAAGAACATTTGTAATTCCATTTAATATTTCCAATGACATAAGTCAAGTCAAATTCAAAATCAGTTTGCATTATGTAATTCCTCACATAACAATGGGATTCAAACCCTTTTTCTGACTGAGGATGTCTCATTTTAATAAAGGAGAACACTAGCAAACATTTGCTGCATGGTCAGCTTTAAATTCTGTGTAAAAAGAGCTTAAGGGCAGCGGATTTGCAAGAGGCGTATGATTACACACAAAGTAATACCAGGATAAACCATGCTTATTACGCTGATATGTAGTTGTAGCGCTACATGCAGCCAAAATCCTGAAAAACCTCAAATCCGAATGGACTTTGAAGCTTTGATGTCACTGGAAGTAAATACATCGAGTGTGTATTTGTGCCTGTTGTGTCTACTTCCGTGTATTTTCCCACAGTCTACTGTACCTGTATTTGAACTTATTATGTATTTATGTGTGTTAATCTCAACGTCAGACCGCTCAAGTGTGTCTGGGTTTTTTGTGATTGTGTGTGTGAGACTCACTGCAATGATGTTAACAAAGTCGTTTTCTCCCAGTGTGTCCAGTATAGTATTGATGGTGTGTTTGGCTATGGTCAGTCGTAGTCCCTTCATACTGCCACTCACATCCACCACGATTACTACATCTTTAGGTGATGTGGCTGCCTGGATATACCTAGAAGGAGACAGAGAGGTGAGGTAGGAAGCAGTAAACACTTTATCTTCATTATTAAGTGAACCAAATAACATTCAGTCATGAACAGAGACTCTGTTATTTAACAGCAGAGAGAAGTACTTATTTTGAGCCTTATCCTTTTATGTTCTGTGAAACATAAAACTGGATAGTTCCTAGAACTTGATTTACTGTCACTGAGCAGTAATATTTTCTAATTTGTTATTCAATAGATAGACCTTTTACAGGGAAGACATTTTAAATGCTACATAAAGAAAAGCCAAAGTGTGAATAATAAAATGTACAATGGGTAATCATGTGCTCATTGACACAGTCACAGAGCTATTGTTAGATTCATAAGTAACACCTCTGTGTTTACAAGTCAAAATATCTGCTGCAAGAAAGTAACCCATTAGGAACCTGTTTTATCCATTCACTGCATTAATTGTTAAATTATTTACAGTTACTAATAAGCAGGTCAAAAAAGAATACACTGTTAAATACACTGATTCAGGAGGCTAGAATACCACTCAGAAATACTTGTTTGCACGTGCAGCTGATTTAACAGGCTCAATTTGCAGAACAGTGGTTGAGTCTGGCAGACTGGTTCCAACTAGCCAGACACACTGAAGAATCTACAGCTGATGGTCAGCCATAGATGTTAATGGCACCCAATGGCTGCTGGCTTGGAGTGTCGGTGCCAATAACCGGGCTTTCTGAGCTGTTATGGTTCTTCTGTTATTCATCAAAGAAGCACTATTTTGCACTTGCATTCTATACAGAAAGATGAAACACTTCAAAAAGCATCAATAAGGAACTGATGCTATCCTGGCTCCAAAATGGTGGAATGAGCTCCCCATTGAAATCAGGACAGTAGATTGAGTAGCACTTGAAATGTTTTGGCTCTATGAAACCTGATGTACTTATATGATTCTGTTTTCTTCAAGTTTGTATCTTCTTGGTCGAATGCACTTAAGTAAGTAAGTCGCTTTGGATAAAAGCGTCAGCTAAATGCAATGTAATGTAATGTAATGTAATGATGTGGGTTGTAATATAGCTTTACCAGTTTCTGTTCCTGCAATCAAAGGTGACAACACCATTTTCATCTGGAATCCACTGGATCCCTGGAGACAGAGACAGATTTAGCAAAGGAACACTCAGAACTTCTGCTTGGCTGCCTGGTTGGTCAGACAGATGAACAAATGGATGCACGGATGGATAGTGACAGATCAAATGAAGGAGAGATTGATGAGGCAGCGGATGAGTAAATAAAGCTGTGTAACAAATCCTTTGCTAATTACATACACACACACACACACAGGAGAGAACTCAGCTGCAGCCATATGTAGCTGAACTGAGTCATCAGGTCTGACAGGCAGCTTCCTGCATCATCAGTTGCTGTCTAAGTATGCTGTTTAGCTTGTGTAGCTAAATGTTTATCTACACCTCTGTTCTTGTTGTCTCAACACTGTGCCGACACTGGAGAAATGTGCAAGTGAAAACACTTTGGGAAGCATGCAAGGTGTCCAGAATGTAGGAGGAGGTGGGGGACAGGAGAGTGATGGCCAAGCTGTCATCATAATTGACAAACAGTACAATCTGCAAACAGTACCAGCTACCTCTTTAATTTGATATGGTCACTTTGTTTTTGTTTTTTAGTTTTTTATATACTGCTACTCTTTTTACCATGATGTACTTATCTTCTTTTTTTTTTCTTTTTTTTTATATGTACGATTATTCTTTTCACTTTATCTGCTCTATACTTCTGCTGTTGTTATAATGTAAATCTCCTCATTGCGGGACAAATAAAGGAATCTGATTCTGATGTAGGATTTATGCACCTGGGTAGAGCCTGAAGAAGCCTGTAGCGCTGCCAAAGTACTGCCAGGTGAGAGTTGGATCTTTCTTGAAGTTATCAATGAATACGTCATTCAGAGCCTCAGACATGTAGGCTCCGTTCACAATATCTGTATCTACAGAAAGAGAAAGAAAGAATAATATGAATGTATTGCTGGCATTTAGATGGCAGTTTGTGCATGCTGTCTATAATGCTGCATATTCCCACTTCTGTACCTCTGTTGTAAACATTTGTAGGGACTTGAATGTTACTCAGTTGCGTGTTGACTGGCAGCTTATTGAAGTGTTCGTTTTTCTCCAGAGTGAACTCTCCTCCCAGCGACAGTGAATTCCCATCCTCATCCACCTTGTTGATCAGCATGGAGTTAAAGTATTCAAACTACAGCAAAGGATAAGAACATCCATCAGATTATATCAGCTGTTATCTGGAGCACGAATAAGTGATGGTGTGTCCACACTCCACATCTTAATTGCCTCAGTAGGCCATTATCAATTAATGGTAAGCCGGATCACCGCAGGACGGATACGGTGACCTCTCGAAGCTGAAGTAATTATGACGGGAGCAACGGAGGAAGGCAGGCGATGAAGTAAAAAGAGGGACAAAGACTGTGTAGGAATAAGTTGGGTTGGGTCAAACAAACACAGACTTTAAACCAGGAGTCTGCTGTTCATGTCCTTTTTTAAGCAAGAATGTTGACTATAAGTACGTAATTTTAGAGCCTCATCCATTGTGTAGTACAGTACAATTTGTTCTTAATTTAACCAAGTCGTTTTTTTTACGCTTCTGTACAACAGACACATATGCAACAAAGGCAGATAATATTATAAAATATAAAATAATTATTTTATCTCAATCAGGTTTATTTTTAAGTAGGTTTACAAATCAAATCAAATCAAGTTTTATTTATATAGCACATTTTTAAACGATTTTTGGTCGAGCCAAAGTGCTGTACATATAATACAAATACCCTACAGTAAAGACACTTTACAGCAAATACAACAGCACAGTTTGTGCAGAATATCAGTATGAGAAAAACGACACCCTACAAGGAATTTCCTTTGGTGTAAAATGGTGCAGAAACAAACAAAATAACAGGAATGAAGGTATTAAAAAGAAGAAATATAGAACTATATACAAATAAATTATTAAAATATATACAAATAAATTATTAAAATATATAAAATTAAAACAGAAAAAATGACTGTCAATACACAAGAAAGTAGGTAAAATTACTCTAAAAAGAAATGTGTGCAGTACATCAGAACTAATGTGGAAGAGCTGTGCAATTTTAAAAGAGGTAGCATTAAACAGAAATTTACAAAATGTACAGAGGAATGTGCGAGGATGTCCATGGGGGCATTTATTACTAAAGCATACTGTCACATACCTCTAGAGTTTCGTTGTACTCGTGGTAAAGGTCAGCATCCTCCGCTGCTTCTGCTAACCTCTGTAATGAAACACAGCATGTTAAGGATGCATGTGAGAAACAAGTTTATACAGACTAAACCTACACATTATTTGTCATTGTTTAAAAAAGAGAAAAGGTCTTTGAGTGTGTTTGCATTTACAGAATGTATCATTGTTACCTTCACAGATTTCATCTTCCTCCCAAGCATCTCCTCCATCTCCTCAGCAAACTTCTTCACCAGCTCCTCTCCGTCCACCTCCTCTATCTTCACCACTGCCTCCACATCCTTGTATTTCTTTACAACAGACACAGTTGTCGAAATTAGTAACAATGCTGAATATTTTCCAAGCATCCTCTATCAAATGCATCCTTTTAGCTCCTAATAATATAACATTTCTTGAAAACAAACAACAGGTAGACAGTGTAAGAAAGTGGTGGTCACTATATTGTGATCATATTTCCTTACTCATTTACAAAAGACACAATGAAAAACAACAAACACACATAACCATGGTAGAGAGATCCTGGCATTATACAATTATGCACACGCGCAGACACCACACATTTACAGTCTGCCGTACAGATGAGGGTCAAGCCCTGGCTTCATCCCCTCCCCAGACCCCCTCTCTAATCTGCAATATGATAGAGTGACGCCAGAAGAAAGCTACACTGCCTCCTGACTGACATCTGCTCTAATGTGTCTCTGGCTGCTAGTGGGTCTGCTCACTGCACTATTGAATTAAAGCAGTTACATAAACGTGATTTAAGGGATTGCGTGCTGCTGTTGCTTGTGGACACAGAGGTTAATTTCCGGCATTGATGATAAAAGCTTCAATAGTGATGACGGATGATAGAATTTCAGTTAATGCTTTGTTTTATTTTCTATTATCCTCAGTGAGATATTTACCCTTCTTTAAAGGGGCCCCAATAGGTTTTTGTGCATGTAAATGGTCTTCAAAGGCTAAAATCCCAGTGTTCCCTCCAGAGTTTCTCTCACACACAAAACGCCTCCATTGGACACCTTTGTTACTTCTGTACCATAGTGACATCACTGTGTAACACTCGCGTTTCTATTGGCAAGCACTTAAACACATTGTATGTGATAGGCTAAGGGGCGCGACATCTCTAAGCGGTTAACCAATCACAACAGAGCCAGCCAGCTAACCAATCAGAGCAGACTGGGCTCTGGTTTCCGACAGAGGGGGAAAAGAGGTGCTGCAGCACAGGCAGTATGAGAAAAATAAAGAGCTTTTTAAACATTAAAGCATGGAGACATGTCACAGTAGAGACACTACATACTGATATGAACCTGAACATGAGCTTTAACAATGTCCTCTTATACAAAGGGAAGAGAACATTGACATTTTACTAACAAATGGGCCCTTTAGTAAGACAGCTTCAGTCTGACAACTAAGACAATTGAGGAAAAACAAATGAATGCCCAATTGTCATATTCTATTTCCACTTTCACACATTAAGCTTTTAAATTTCCGTTACACTGGAGACAATATTACACAGATAAGACAGACAAACAGATATAAATGGGAAAAAGGGTAATAAAGAGCTCTACTAGCCTACTGCAAACAACCATAAAAGAACCCTTTCCAAGAAAAGTAATGCTCCAACAATTTCTGTATTATCTTCAAACACAACACTCAATATCCTATTCAGTTTACTCAGGCATGAAGGCAGAGGCAGTACATTTTCCACAGATAAGCAGAGGACCATCGATTAGACAGAGGAGGGTGATTAATGGCTTCTTGTTGCAGAGATTAAACTAATGCAATGTGTGCTTTTTACACTTCACTAACTAGAAAAAAAGATAAAGTGTGTAACTAGGAGACACTTAAATATAAATATTGTTATAACAGATACTGTAACTCCAGCAACTTGTGTTATTGCTACTACTATGACAACTACAGCAGCATCACTTGTACTGCGACTGTTTATCTGAGGCTGCTTGGATCAAGTTTGGCACTATTTTACATGCCGTGTGCATTTTAATTTGGACAGTTCCTACAAATAAAGCATTGGGGGGATGTTAGGTCAGTCCAGTCTGGAATACAGGCTAAAACATCACTCAACATACTGCTGTGAATAAATATGCCTTATACGCCATAGAAGAAGCTGGTTAGTATGTGCATCTCTCTGTGAAAACAGTGTGTGTGTGTGTGTGTGTGTGTGTGTGTGTGTGTGTGTGTGTGTGTGTGTGTGTGTGTGTGTGTGTGTGTGTGTGTGTGTGTGTGTGTGGCAGATGGTGAATGGGCCTGCTAGGGATTCTACAGGGTGGCATGCAGAGAAAGACCGCACATCTTAATTACTAAAAGACACACACACACACGCACACGCACACGCACACGCACACACGCACACACACACAAACACACACACAAGCATGCCGTCTTCTTTAATCTTCAAGGTAAATCATTTAATTTATCGCACTACCGCTTATGAGCATGACATTTATGTTGAATATCACATCAACGGTTTTAAAAGTACAAACCAAAAATGTGTGTGTGTTTATGTGCTATTCAATTAACTGTGTCATCACATTGTTCTCAGGGCCATGTGCAGATGTTGTACAGTAAATGTATGCCAGTCAATCGTGTTCCTATTGGCTGACGGAGCAGAGGGGAGGGGGAGGAGATGCAGACCCCGCTCACCTCAGTCTGATGTGATGATGTCATCTGTTCTATAACCATCTCTATTTTACAGAGGTGCAATTTCTGCTTCTGCATTTACATTTGTTTCTTAGATTTAACTCCTTTTCTGTTGTATTTGCCAGCAGAAATAGTGTAAATCTGCTCATTTTAAGCACGGAAATGATCAGAAAATGTCCACAATGAGCCATCATGACGAGGTCGAGCTGTAACTTTAGGTAGCTTTGAATGTATTGATCCTGGGATGTCAACCTCATCTATGTGTGTACTGTACATTCTCTGGTAAAGCCATACACTGTATGTTAGGGATAATGAATCAAAGGGATTAAAGCTGCACCACCATCATCACATCACTGATGTCTGTCTGAAATGGGAATTACTCAAACACACAATCATTCATCTTAATTGACCTCAAAACACATCAAATTAAGATGCCTTGAATACTATTTCAATGCCGTGTATGTTTGTGTACCTGCCTGGTTGATCTGATTTGTGTTTCTGTCCAACATCATTTGCGTGTGTCTGTATTTGATAATGTGCGCATACGCTTCTGTGTGTAATCTCTTACCTTCTGCAGCAGTTTAGCTCCAGAGTATCTGGCGGACAGAGCAGCTATCTCTTTGCTGAAGGACACAGCCCACTTTTGCACCCTGGACAGAGAAGACATGATCAGTGACAGATGATCAAAACTGTTATCAATATCTATGACAACAATGCAATAACCCAACATGTATGTCACATTAATAAATGCAACCCTTTTGCAGAAGTAGAGCGGCAACACAATCAGCATTTTTTCACATCATGGCAACCCAAATGTGGTCTTATCAGTAACTCAATTGTTTGTTATTGGTAATACATTGTTAAAGGGTTGCTTACTGTATTTGAAAAAAAAAAACTGAAAAAACTGACATTCTGGCAATTAAACGTGTTAGTTAAAGAAGAGCTATATGGCCTTTTCCAATAATACCTATATTTAGCTAAAAAGCTACACACATCTAATAAACTGAAGAAATGCACCCTGATGTAAACGGCCCCTTTAACAATATTGCATTGTGTTTAACATCTGTGGAGCAAATATTGTTTGAACATGTCTTAGAAAACTAGAATTCCTGACATCTTTAAATTGATTAATTTAGTTGATGAAAATGAAGGGTCAATAGGACAGTCTTTATTAAAGCTGACCCTTGACTTAGGAAGCCAATCATGTTAAAAGGTGACCCTGCATTCAACAATAACAGATTCAAACAGATTAGTGTTCAGGTGACAGTAAAAGCTGTCAGTCAAGAGGTCACTCTGCGCTCTATAATATGCAGTACATCTACAAATCCTTTATGTCTGCCAAGCAGGAAAGGTAGCAGAGGTTAGAGTGGGCAGGATATGACAGATGGCTCAACCAATGGGGAGCCAGCCAGCTCACAGCTAGTTAAACAGAGCTATCATAGCTAGCCTGCTAGCATTGGGACTAGAAACTAGCTGACTTTATGTGTTTATTCTGAAATATGAGAATGTGTTCATTATCAAATGTGAATATTGGTAACATAGAGGTGCTAGGAATGACTGTTGTATTATAAATACATTTCATATTTTATGTTAATAGATAGCAAACACTCGATTGAAATGAGTGAGATCGCTGCACCTGAGTTAAGGGATTGTCCCAAGAGTTTAGCTAAACTACAGTAAAGTTGGTTATAAATGCAAATGTAAAGAAGGGAAAGACGTGACAGGATGAACCTACTGTAATGCTGTCTCTGAGGTGCAGTGATATATTAACTTGAACTTGAACCTGCTGCCTGTTCAACCTTTTTGTATTATTATTTTTGCTGGAATTTGTAACATAAATAGCAATAACACAAACTGCCAAGTCTGAAGTTCTTCTTGTCTCCTCACTGGATGAGTTAAGGGAGTATCAAGTACACTTTTGACTGATAAATATAGGTATTTATTAATTGAGATGGTCAAATAGCTTTTTTAAATGTTTTTTGCACTCTCATTGTAGTGCCTCTTAAACGGCATGCTGTTAAAGAACATACAATGTGCTACAATACCACTGTACCAGCCAAGTGAGGTCAGATTAGACAGGGCATTAGGCAGGTCACACTAAGGTCAACTATGGACCAGTTCCTAAGCAGTTGGTACTGTAACTCTATGGTACCGTTAAAGGGCAAAAGGCAGGAAAATTCAACATTTTTAATATAAAAATTCACTAATTCACAGCATTCCATCAGGGTGTCTAGGGTGTCAGTTCCTTGATGTTTAAATATGTGATGTATTTTCCTCCTGGCAGCAGAGCGATGTTCCCTCAGAGGCTAAAAATTTGACTGTCTTGGCCTGAAACGTCCTTATAACAAGCTAACTTCCAGAGCCAGCGGGGCGGTGCTGCCACTTCTTCCCCAGATACAGCAAAGCATTTTGGGCTCAGTGACCTGTGCTGGCCTGCTGAACCTGGATGTCACTGGAGCTTTAATCTCCCACGTAACACCAGAGCCTGCTGTGTGACAGCACACACACTCTGAGTCTCACACAGGTTCACACATGTATATACTGAGACTGAACCATCCATCATGCTTTAGTTGTGTTGGATGATTAATCTATATGACTCGATTTCGAAATTGAACAGCATCTATTTAGTGCAAGAATTCAGAGTATTTCTGTGTACCTCTCACCCCCCTACACACACACACACACACACACACACACACACACACACACACACACACACACACACACACACACACACACACACAGTTAATAGGCTATTGTGGACTGACAGCACGGCATCGATCTGTTAGTGTTTTTAGTCAGCAGGAGGTTTGAAAGCTGTTCAGGGAAAAAGAGCTTTGTCTGGTTTCTGGAGATCACACAAACGCAGCGTTTCATTCCAAAAGAGAAGTGAGACAGAAAAACTGACCACTGAGGCAACAAGGCATTAGGAGTTATTGCAATTCCCTTGTGTAACAGCCATCTTTGTACCTGGGAAATGTAGAGGGAATATTTCCTGGTTAGCAGTGTCCTTTTCTAAAACTAGTTTCTAAAACTGTATTTACAGACCTCCTATCCCAGGTAGAACATGATCCTTTTAAAATATATGGTTTGAGAAGTTCATATTACAGTTCATAATTAAAAGGACATAATCCAAATCAAAAGGACTGTATGAAGAACGTGATGTATTTTCTTTGGTTCCAATGTTGATATTAAATATGTTTTTCCAATAACACCAAAAGACGTATTTTATGCAATATATCAAATGCTGTCCTGCATACTGTAAGCTTTGACTGCACAGTGGATCAGTTGACATGTAAACACGACGGCGTTTACTACCAAGTTAGCAGCTGTGCTAACAATCACAATATTAGCATGCTGGTATTTAATACGTTTAGGTGGAATATACTCTATTCTAAACGTCCCAATTTACTCTGGCATTAGTCTTCAATAGACAAACTGGTGAAGACAAGCAAACCATAAAACAATAAGTATTAAACATAATCATTTTGTGTTGATTTTATTTAAATGTAGCACATGTCTACTTCACCTTCAGCATACTAACTGTAGAAAGGCTGTGTAGTCATTGATAGTTTGGCAGGTGGCTACACCCCCACCCACAGGTATCCATATGGCCCATATGCATCTGTGTGGAGTAATCAGCCAAAATGCAAGGAACACATTGACTCATCTATATCACGTGAGGCTGTAAAAAGGACAGGAGCTGCAGATCTGCCAGGGCGTCCACGGGGAAACGACCACACAATAGCTGATGTAATGTCTAAATAAAGCACTATGTTTGTGGTCAGATAAGACATATTCAGCGCTGATTGTTAGCACATTGTGTCTCAATCTGTCGACCTGTGAGGATGTAGTCATAGAACATCATGTTATCATCTAATTGGTTGGCTGAAACCTTTTGTTGATGTGTTTATTCTGAAATATAAAAGTGTGTTGGTAACGTAGAGGTGCTAGGAATGACTGTTGTAAAATAAATATATATATATTTAGTTTTCTATATTAGCATATATTATTTATTAGCATACTAATATTTGCTATGTTAGCAAAACGAAAGCAAAGTTAGTTATTTATGCAAATGTGAAGAAGGGAAAGACGTGACAGGATGAACCTACTGTAATGCTGTCTCTGAGGTGCAGTGAACATATTTCATTAAGAAGAACCACTTGGACCTGCTGCCTGTTCAACCTTTTATTGTTATTATTTTTGCTGGAATTTGCAGCGCACATAGCAATACTACAAACTGCCAAGTCTGAAGTTCTTCTTTACGTCTCCTAACTGGATGATTTAAGGAAGTATCAATCAAATGTTTTAACTGATGGCTAAGAATGAGTCTTTGAGTCAGTCGAGACACAATTGGCACTCAAATATAGATCTATTATTGTAATTAATATATTAGGTAAATATGTTCCTTATAAATCCTGTGTGATCTTTATGATTTATCCCCCCCCCCCTGATGGCTCCCTCCCTGGGGTTAACCTGTGAGTGTTCTCTAATGTAACTGTACTCACGTTTCCGGTGAGATCTTCATCTGTCCGTCGACCATGCGGCACAGCGAGCTGGAGAGGATAATCCACAGCAGCATCATCAGCCTCCCTCTGCGCGGCCCACTTCCCCTGCTCCAGCGGTTCATCCCTGCAGCAGTTGTTGCTCGCTGGCTCCAAAGAGAGAAGGATTAAATAAGGAGAGCGCAGAGTGAGTTTAGAAATGCTCAGGCCACAGTGCACGAGGATGGAAGTTGTTTGGTCCTGGGTAGGTAATGTACGGTGGGATTTCTTTGCTTTTTTTGTTGAAAAAACTACTATGCAAGTAAATCAAATGAATGAAGATGTGGGGTGTTAAAGAAAAAGTGTGCTGAAAGAACTAACCTTACATTTAGAAACCACAACATTGGGTTTCTTTATGTACCACAAGGACAACAATTGACATCTTACTAATCAAAGTATAGGCACAAATAATAATTGTTGGTTAAAGGTAGGGTAGGTAATTTTGGAGAAACCGGCTCGAGATCTCTAGAATTTGAAAATACACAACCGGAGAAAATCTGCCACTTCCTTACAGAGCCCCTCCTCCAACACACACAAACGCGCACATGACCAATGAGGGCACGAGATAAGTTTGTGCACAGATGGAAGGCTGACAGGCAGGTAGGCCATCCAGTTATTTTAGCCGGGCCGGCTAAAATGATTGGTCGTGCTTTTTACAGTACTACGGCTTCCACAGATGACATTTTTTGAATGGATTTTTTGTCAAAGCACTTAAGATATTCATTGCTATCGGGATGTTAAGAGCATTCCATGGAATATAACAAAAAGTGTATCTCGAGCCGGTTTCTCAAACTTACCTACCCTACCTTTAACTTGCCAGGCAAAACAAGCATTACAAAAATACAAACATCCAATCCAAAGTTTTCCGAGAGACTAGCCGAGGGCATTATGACACCCAACGACAGACAAAGCATGTCCTCCTTAAAGCTGCCCCAGATTTAAGATTTGTAGTGGATTCTAAGATTGATTCTGAGAAGCCACAGTCATTGAGTGGGAAACTTAAGAGCTGCTCTTCCTGTTAGCCAGAAGATTGAACCAATCCCATTTGCCGTCTGGAAACACAGGATGCTAATTTAAAAGAAAAACAAGCTGCATCCCAAAAGTGGGTTAGAGGAAGATTGATACACTTACTGAAATGATAACATACAGAATAGCAGTGATTACTCACTATGTCATGTGGTCAAAGCTTTAAAACCATTTCCTTTGAGACATGTGGAAAGTTCAAATACGACTGATGAGCAATAAAAAGAGTCTGATAGAGATTTGATGTCAGCTCAGCTGGACCCCCCGGCACACAGCACAGTCTGGAAAGCTCTTGTCTCCAGTGTCAAAGGTCACTTCTGCGCTCCAAGAGACACAACGGATTCTCGCCATGCTCCTACACCTCCCTCTCTACACCCCTTAATCCTATTTCTGCTACTCCCATTATTATCTTCTCTCCTCCATGCTCCCCCCTCTACAGGATGCCGGGGGAAAAGGGAGAGTGATGGGGGCGTCCCGGTGAGCTTCCCTCGAGTTCAGTTAGCGAGGCATTCCCAAGCAGGACACACACATATATTCCCAAAAGAGTTTTCTTCTGCCGCCCTTTTTTTAATTATTCCATCCTGCTGAGCTCCTGGTGGATCCAAAACCATGCAGCACTGGGACACGCATATGATGATGGTTGAATGATGATAGAGTGATAGTAGGACTTCCTCTCTCTCCAGTGGATCTCTTCCTGCTGTCCGGGACCAGTTTATAATCCAGGCAGGATTAAACCCCTCCTCCCTCCATCCCTCCTTTTCCTCTCTCCATCCCTATATCACTCTCTCACACACACACATTAACACAAACACTATCTCTCCCCTTCATCTTTTCTCTTTTCACTCTTTGACCTACTGTCTTTCCCTCTTGCTGCTTTTCTTTCTGGATGAGTTCCTCTCTTTCCCTGTTAATCTTTCTCATCATCTCTCACCTGCTCGATTACTCTATGCATTTCTGCTGTGATTAAGAAAGCAAATGGATGGAAGGAAATGTGGCAGTGATCTGAATTAACTGAAGTCATCTAACATGGGGAAAAAAGTGAAAAAGAAAGAAGAAAAAACGAGGGGGGAAATGAAAGAAGATGAAAGAGAGTAAAAGAGAGGATGTCAGAAAGAAAAGAGGAACATTATAAAAAAGAAGAGGAAAGGGAAAAGACTCGTGGCAGGACCGTGAAATGAAGTGTATCTAGGATTGGTGGAGAAAAATGTTCTTGACTGACACAATGTTGTAATATAATCACACTGAGACACCTAGTGGACTTTCACTGCCACACATGGACATGTATACTAACACACAGGGTGCTGCAGCACTGATCTAATACTGTAAACGTGTCCCATATTGCAAATCCAACGATCAATAAATGACTGTAGGTTACAAAATCTCACATTCATCAAGTAATATATTTCCATTACCCCTTTTTTAAATGTTCTGTGAATACTTTTTATATTTCCACTTGTGTTGAGAAATGATTATGTTGTTGTGAAATCTGCCTGTATGACGGTAACCATGCTCAGAGGACTGACTCTAAACCTAACTTTTTAACCTCAAACGAATGCAAAACATAAGTTACAGGTAATTGAACATTAGGACACGCTAAAATTTGCAAAAAGACTACAACCCAAACTCACACCTTAGGATAAACCGTTAAAACCCATTTGGATTGGAATTATTAGGAGATTAGAAGATAAAGTTGGTCAGCAGTTAGCCCCACTATTGGTAAGACTACAACATCCAATAACCTTTTATTCTGGGGTAATAAACAGTCCCCAGTGTGGCTACAGACTACAGACACATTTGCTCATGTTAACAGTTTTGTATGAATTGTTTCAATAGTAATCCTGTGTTGACTGCTTACTCTAAAACTGCACAACAGAAAACCCAAATTACATTTAAACTTTGTATGAGGTACAGCAGAGACAGGACTACAGCCCAATGCCTGTCTGCTGCTGCATCCATTAAGCTACATTTAACTACGCACCAGAGACACACAGTCAGACATACACACTAACAAACACACACACAACATACAATGTCAGGTTAATAAAGCTTACGTGCACTGACACAACAAGCTAACATGCCTTTGCATATTATAAGCACACAAAGTAAAACATCTGCTCATGCTGTTCTGAAAATGAAAATGCAGTAACACAATCTGGCACACACACACACACACACACACACACACACACACACACACACACACTGCAGAGAGAACAGATTCATAGCATGAACTCTTAAGAGACTGAGTGACACACACAGACATGCACACACTACATATGGATATCCATATAGCAGTGTGTAACAGCTGTGGGACTCCTCCCCCCCACTGACCCAGATCAGTGATGATAGGGATGATTCCCCCGCCTCCCCTCTCCCAACATGAAGAAACTCTTATTTTTTCTATCAGATTAATAAGGAGTTGTATGCCAAACTTCCCATGAATTTACAGCAGAAAACCTGGGTTTGAAATGTAACCGAATTATGGTGGCAGCTTTGTAAAAGTCCTTTGCAATAAGCTGAACGCATCACCATCCCAGCAAGAACATAATAGTTTAACATAACAAAACTGTTTTGTGGGAAATCTCTCTCAAACCAGACAAAATGTTTTACTCTGTACATTGTTAACTCAAAATGAGGATATGGAAGAAACTACTTATTTGTTTATTCGATTTTATTGTATTCATTTCGGCCACTGATTTATTTAACCTATTATTCCAGGATTTGTATTTGTACTAGAATTTTCCTTAATGTATTTAGTGTATTTTCCCAATTAATACATTTTAAGGTGCACTATTTGGGACCTTTTATCTTACTGTGCTCTCTATTTTATCACATCAATATACATACATGAATACATTTAACTATAATCCTTAAACACCATTAAGCACCACTGTTATGGAGCTATTTCAGGGTCATAAGTTTTGATGTATTCAAACCAAAAATAAGTATTTGAAATCATTTTTCAGGTTGAATGTTATTTTTGATTCAGTTCAGCAATTTCTTTGAATAAAATATTTATTTTCATATTTCACTTTTATACATATTTTGATATTTGTATCCTTATTTTTTTCAGTTGCAGATTTTACGTTTTCAGATTCAAAACAATAATTTTTTCAGTTTCAAATCTTGTTTTTTCAGGTTTCACATTGCTTTTCACCTTCAATTGTATTTTTCAAAGTTCAGGATAAAAACTTGAACTTTCAAATAAATTGTATTTTTTTGAATGATCAAAACTTATGACCCTGAAATAGCTCCATACACTGTAGTTTAAAACACTAGAGAAACTGAGTCACTCACCAGGCCCTTCAGAGCTTATGATCCAACGTGTCCGAGAGTAGGAGACTGAAAAAAATGACAAGAGGCTGAACTTAGCGCCCCTCTTTTGTGAATGCACAAAGACTAAAAGCTATTAAAAAGCCATAAACCCCCCAAAAGTTCCAAAGCATTATTACTCTATATGAATACATTTCGTCAGATTCATCAACTTTCAAACTTTAAAAGCGAAACCAGTCAATGCAGATGACATCCTCCATCTGAAGATACGGTAGCAAAAAAAGTGGTTCGGACTCCCTACAGTCTGAAGACCCCGCCTTTCTGGGCATGGACACACACACTCTCACACTCTCACACACGCACAAACACACACACCAACAGAAGTCATTGATTAGAAGCCAGGCTAATAGTCAGCCCTTACTTTTAGCCCCATCAGCCAAACTAATGCTCTGGAACCTCCTAGTATCAGAAATGGTGTGTGTTTGTGTTTGTGTGTTTGTTTGTCCTGAATAGACAAGAACATTTACAGATCCTAACAATATTATACATTTGCTATGGCATTGATTCAGTACTCATAAACACTATATTTTAGAGCTTTTTGGTATGAATTGATCCTGGTTTTGGGTACAGAACAGTATTAATGACCATGTTGGTTGGGGAGAGGAAGCAGGAAGGAAGGGAGAGGCAGCCAAACTCCCCCGCTGCGTTTCACATCAGCTGTAAAGTACGGTGGCTGAGAGGTGCAATCGACAATTACAAAGTGTGAAACACTTTAACAAAGCTTGAGACACATTTACATTTTATAAAACAAATTCACATTTTATAAAACAAATTTACATTTTATAAAACAAAATTACATTTTATAAAACAAAATTACATCAGCAAAACACTTTTACCAAAGAAAAAACAAATTAACAAGATGCGAAACACTTTTACAAAGCTAAAGAGAAATTTACAAGTGTCGAAACACTTTAACATTTGCCGAAACACTTTAACAAACTAGAGAATCAAACCGGAAAGGGAATGCCCATCAGTGAAGTGACGTGCAAGTGATTGACACAAACTTAAGTTTGTTTTGGCGGATAGACCGCCGGTACCTATGGACCTTTATGGTCGTTAAACATGTTTTGTCCGTTCTGTGGAAACCACCTGGGCCAAGTGACATGGTTTTGCTCATCACGATATACTTTCTCGTGCGCAAGAGATACGTTTTCATGCACACAAGAAAGTTACAGGTTCGCCAAGTAGGAAATGGAGCTGTGCCTTTTAAGCTGGCTACACACCAACCCGATTTTGGGAGTCAGAAGCCGTCAGAGGCAGTCGGGCATTCGCGGCGCCCTACTCAGGTTGGTGTGTCCCGCACCGTCGTCTCTTTACGGCACCTTTTCACACCTCCCGCGGCCGATTCAACATGTTGAATCGGCCGCGGGAGGTCAGAGAAAGTCGGCCCAAGCAATCACTCTGATTGGCTGTTCACACTACCGCTGCCTGCTGGTAAGGACAGTTATTGACACTCGTCGACTGAAGTATTTGCGGTGTGTTTGTAGGCGGGCGGCGTAGCCGACGCAGGCGACGTAGCTGACGTAAAAGTCGGGACGCCTTCGGTACGCGTTCTTTGGTCTCAGGTGGGTGTGTAGCGGCCTTTACACACAGCCTTCGCTGTGTTTACCTTCATTAGACAGCTAAAGAGCGACTGCAGGCTGCTTAGTTATAGCCACACACACCTCTACACACACACACCACACACACCTCTACACACATCGAACTGCCCGATTATTACGCCTTATTATTCTATTTATGAAGGAGATGTCCGGTCACCAGGGCGTGTGTGTGTGTGTGTGTGTGACACTGGCATTTGTTTTCAGAAGATATTAAGATACTGTCGTCCGTTCCGGTACTGCGGTCAACTCAG